GGCGATGAAAGTAGATAACGAGGAGCGTCAACCGAGAACGTTGGACGATATGGCGAAAGAAGCCGACAATTTGAGGCGATTCTTTACGAGTGAAAGTTGAAATAAATAAGAAAACTATGCTCACGGAGAAAACAATCGTGTAATCTCTCCCATGTTCTTTATTCTATTTTGGTCGCACTTGGTAATAACAATAAATTAATAATACACAATTAAGTAATACCCGGGAGGGCTTAATAACCAGCAGCCATTCCGTTTTTTCTAAAATCACTTGCGGCGTTCAGCAGTCCATCTTTGAAGCGCATAACAGCCTGTACTTCGGACATTCCTTGAGAAATATCGACAACCGTCACCTAAATATGAAAACACAAGTGTTAACATATTATCATACAAAGTAATCGGTATACGCGTTCACTTTACAAGCTCTCATACATTATGTCCTCGCAATACAAGCCCTTCAATGAGTTCTTGAGGGTATCCGGATTCAATTATGACCTATGTGCATGAAAAATGAACCGTTAGTTTTTTTTATGTCTATTAGAAGCGATGGACGAGACGGGTAACTTACCTGGTTTGGCAATAGCTGGTGATGTACGCGAGGAGCGTCTATTGCTTTCAAAATGTTCATGTTAAAGTCATAGACATTTATTATAGCCTGTTGACAAAGAAAACAATCAGTCTACGTCGCTTTCCCTCAAATAAATAGATTCTTTAGCAACACAAGAGGACTTACTTGTAGAGTAGCTGTTATTATCTTGGCGCCACCACTGGCACCAAGCACCATCTCGACCTCGCCATTATTTTCTATTATTGCCGGTACTGACGAGGATAGTGGTCTCTTGGCAGGTGCTGTCACATCGCATAATAAAATCGCGTGTTTGTCATATAATGGCAGACGTTGGATTGCAACTATTATTATAACATTAAAACTTTCACCTACCGACGTAATTGAAAGGAGATGGATATAAACCAAAGAAATTGGGTGTTCCTGGTATAGAGAAATCATCCATTTCGTCATTAAGCAGTATTCCTGTCTTTTGATCTAATACAAGAGATCCAAAGACTAGATTAACCTATTAACATTGTAGAAATGTATTAGAGTTTTGAGGTTCCTTGGACTGAGTTTTCAGTATATTGAATAGCTACCGTTGAAGTCAGGGCAATTGCTTGTCCATCTTTATCCATAACGGATACATGAGTTGTTCCATGAGTTTCCTGTACATCAAATCGAGGATTATAATATTCTGGGTCAAAGGTCGTGTCCTATTGTTGGAGCCAAGGATTAGTCAAGCAATGATATCTCAACATTATAAAGCAATACACACACACTCACGTCAGATATGTTTCCTCTTTGTAGACTTGCAAAGTCTTTTGTGAGCATTTCTGCCATATTTGCTGTATTGTTGACCTTACAAAAAAATAGAGGTAAGGAATTTGCGCAAAGAAACGTTTCTAGAGTTTGTTGATACTCCAATGTTGATATAGATTTAGAATGCTTACAAAGTCAGGGTCACCCAATTCTGTTCTTCTTGCGAATCCGTCTAAAAAAATAGGAATTGTAGTAGACGTCAATACGTGGCAATTCACAAGTGCAGTATATATCAAAAGTATTCCCTACTTACACTTAAGTGCCTCTACAATCCTATGTACGTTAACTTGTGTGGGCCCGTCTACCTTCAGTTCATAACCCTCTAGTATATTTAATATATTAATTAACGCCGGACCACTTGCCGGAGCAGGAGCTGTTGATATCTGAAAATATTTAGTGCGAAAAGAGGGAAAACCATTATTTAGCACTTTTACAATCAGCAGTAATTTTAGTGGCTGAACGATTTCTCACCTTCCGACCATGATAATATCCGACGACTGGCTCGCGGACAATAGGGTTATAAGATGCAAAATCTTCAAGTGTCAATATGCCGCCCTCTTGTTGGATTTTGTCCACAAGTGCGTTTGCTATGCTTCCCTAACATTTAAATCATTAGTCAGTTAATTGTTTATGCTCACCGGCTCTTTCAAGGAAACAACCCGCAACGCACTTACATTGTAGAAAACATCAGCGCCTTCTGTGGCAATTAATTCCAATGTATCGGCCAGATTTTCTCTTTTTAACAAGTCTCCTTCTACCAGTAAAGTACCGTTAGGCATATATAGTTCCGCCAACCCTTCATCTTTTTTTAACAATTCTTTGAATATCTATAGCAAAAAACATTCCAATAATTTAAATAAAGAGTTTGTTATGACTTCTACACTTATTCGACTATATATACCTGAATTCGTCTTGCCAGTTCAGGTGGCACTGTGAAGCCGTCTCGGTTCATTTTAATTGATGGCTCAAACAAACTCTTCCACGGTAATTTACCAAACCTGTACGAACACGTCAAGTTAGATGAATGCACATTATTGATAAACAATCAGGAGAGACAATTATTACATGAAAAAGTTTACTTTTTATGTGCGAGTTCAAATCCTCTTATCTCTCCACTAAATAACGTGTACATTTGTTAATACTCTTATTGCTCAAATTTCAATGCAGCAGCAAAATCAAGTTGATCAAGGAATCTAGGAAATCTATGCATTTTGATCGACACATACGGTACTCCAACACTAAGTCCTCCGTACTTGGCAAGTTCAGGCTGTTTAGAATACATCGTCTTGTTTGCGGCACCTGCAGCCGTTTCTCTGAAATCTATTACTTCTGTTTTTCCGTCAGTTCCACGTATAATCATGAAACCACCTCTAAATATTGAGAAAAACATAAGTCAAAGCGTTGTGACGAATTATCTACAATGAAATCAATCATTTCATACCCTCCAATTCCGGCCGAAAAGCTGTTTATTGAACCAATACAGAGCTGCGACGCAATGGCAGCATCCACGGCTGATCCACCAGCCTTTAATACTTTTATAAATTTGTGATGAAAAACGAATGCAAAAATCATTAGTAAAGGCCTGCAATCCACAACCAGCAACAGTATTAGATTGTTAGAATTTGGGACACATACTATCCACACCAATATTAGAACAATGAATCTCTTCTGATGCGACAGCTCCATTCTTTGCGATAATCAATCCCACAGGCTTGATGGGTTGCGTTTTTTGCTTGACTGCAAATATCCAAATATTTTTCCATTATGATTCTTGTCTTGTCTTACGTCAAGTGGAATTATTACAGAAATTCCAACCGGATTACAAAAAAGAAACCGATTATACCATCTCGCAGCCCGACTAGTGCGAATAGGATTACCAGAAAGATAATCAAGAACCAAACAGCATATAGTCTCGCTCCAGTATTAACTTTCTTTTGTCCTTTTCTCCATGTATCTCGTCTCCTACTTGATCGGTGGCGATTGACCGGTCTCGAATCTGACGATGGTGCAGATGATACAAGCAATCCCGTGCGATCCGTGGCATCGTCAGCGGGTCGTCCTTCTTCCAATGTAGGTGTTGATAAGCGTACCATAGTCATTGGTAGGGAATCATCTTCTGAAGAGCTATCGGGGTCCATTGGCTTTATATGGTTGCCCGAATCTAGGGTCAGATTTATAATCGATAATAATAATTTATCATAAATAGGTTTTATATCAATGCAAGCTGTAGATCTTAACCGGATGATATTTACTGCGAATATGTCAGACACGGATGGGAATTGTCCCTGAAAAGTTTTTTTGTCGCCAGATCATTTTTGTGTATCATCGCGCAATCAAAATTCAGATTCTTGACCAATCATTTGCTTATAATTTATCGGTAATAGTATCACAGCCCTGCTTATTAATATTAATGAAATCTTCCCAACTAAAAAATGTGCCAGATTCTGAAATGCGTAGAAGGGCATTATTTTTAGCAGTCCGATATAGTTCTCATGCCCAAATAATTGCTCAAGTCTATATATGTATTAATCTTGACAATGTTTTTACACCAAACGCGCTTGACATAAAATTAATCCAAATTTGCGTGCACAGAGGAATTGTCTCATTTATTAGTTAGTATGTGAGCGTGTTCTTCGTATGCAATTGTTGACTAAAGAATGCAATCGAAAAAATTTATTCCCATCCCACTTGTATAATCAACCATCTCCATTTCGAAATCGTTAAAATAAATAAACATCTGATATTGAACAGCAACTCTTAACGTGCCAATCCATATTTGCTGTGTTTATTCTCAACATGCATGGTATGTTTACTCGCGTCAGATTTAATTGTCACATTTGAACAGTCAAATATTAGAGGAACACCAAGCACGACCGATATGATAGTCTCCCTTCTTTACGAATTCTAATTGTGATATTTTTGCCATCCACTATTCCAATTCCTGGTCGTCAATTACAAGTATAAGAATCAATGGTAGTTCTTTAATTATTATTGTCCCACCACTAATAATGAGTCTCAATCCACTATTGTCAAATATAACATCCGTGCCAAGACTTTAATTGTTAATGCAAATGATTGTTAAAAATGACTAGTTTGTGGAAACCGAAGCCAAACAGGGAAAAACTCTTACGAAAAAGGCTGCGATCATAACTTGACTCCAAGAACCCGATACTTGCACGAATATCAAAAAGAGTTTCATATAAACGGAGTAATGGTTATATATACTGCATGCAAGTTAAATAACGGTAAAGAAGGTTTATTCAAGTCGTATAATGTTACTTGACCATGTCGCGACAACCAATACTATTCTTAGTAATTCTTCTTCATACCAACACTCAATAATAAAGTCAAATACTAAATTGTTTTATTTTATAATAAAGGTGACGGTTTTGCTTGATCCTGGAATTCCCAGTGTAAATCTTCAACATCCCAGCCGCCGATGCGAACCCATCCATCCTGTTTCACATGATACACTAAAAAAGAAAAATAAAAAGTCGTCAACACCAATATGCAAAAGCATGCTGAAACACGATACTGTAGTATACATATAATAATATATCCAAATCTATGTTGGATCATGACACTCGATTTGGTAATGTTAGCAATTTCAATTAAATATATACCGTTAACGCTTCCTCCGGAAGCACCATCGCGGTGGGTGGCATGATAAATAGCTCGTTTTCCTAAAGCAATCGCGCTCTGTACATCAAGATCATAATCAATTCCGTTATCAAGAATACCATATGCAAATGGCGATCCGGATCCAACAGAGAATATGTCGCCATGCAACCGGTTGCCTTCACTGTCAATGTAAAAAATGTTAGGACCCTACATACAGGACAAGAATAAAGTTTAGACGTAAATCAATCAATCAAATCATCAGATTTGTGCTTGCGCGTAAAGTAATTTCAGTTGTATTGCACATTTCTTACCGTCTTATCCCAGCCCGTTACCATCGAACCCTATAGTGTTTAAAAGTCATTAAGAATCATTCAGGCAACTCTTGCTGGATACTCAATACTATACAATGATGACCACAGACCATTGACAAATCCATTCCTTTGTATCTGTAGATCATATTAGCAAGCAATTTGGACGCTGCTGCTACCGAGATGCGCTCTTTATTTCTCAACTCGTATAGCCTTTGTACATGAAATAAACAATTAAGTCAGACAGTTTAAGAATATACACAACAGCGATAACGACAACTACAACGATGACGACAACAACTCACCGACATTGTCGTCCAAGTTCTCTTTGCCAAAATGAGCAATCGGCCGCACCACCAGCCATTGTTCCCAGAAGGAAGGGATTAATTTCTATGATTTTTTTCACAGTCGAAGTGGCTAAGGAGAACGTGCAATCGATTAATTATGGTTGTAAAAGTATGACGGTAAGAAGGCAATCATAACGATCGCCAAAAATAATAAACATTCGCGCACATTCACGACACAACCGAGATGCATCTGCACGCAACGTTCAAAAGAAAAAAAAAAGACATTCCAATTCCGACACACATACAAACATAGTTTCCCTGCGAAGCTCTAGAATCAGCAGCTACAATCACGCCACCGTTAAATTTGAAGGCTAATGTGGTAGTTCCGTGCGCTATTTCTATCTTACAAGGTGAAGAGTCGGACGTTATCTCCCTCAGAAATTTAACTGGCTTTCAAATCCAATTTTTATCTTTGTTAGATATCGTGCAAAAGCAAAGGAAAAGTTCTCGTCAAACCCAATGCGCTTTATGAATTGTCAACTTACGTCATGAACGGCAGGAAACTGGAACATCGGTAACGTGAATCCATTAGCTGTGTCCCAGTCAAACGAGCTGTCGTGGAAAACTTCTTCTTCATATAACGCGGAAGCGTTCTTAAACTCATTCAAAATCGAGTTCATGGTCAAGTAGATAATAAATTCTCGTAAAAATCAACAAGTATTACAATGATGTGATGACTTGCGTAACGTGTTGACGCAAGCAGATCCCAAAGAATGCTGCAATACTTGATCGCTAATGAAAAAAGGTTGATTCGTGCTTATTTCCTGTACAGACACTATGGATATGAATTCATTTTTACCCATTCAAGTTCCTTGGACTCCTCAAACAGCTACCTCGGCGCCCAAACAGGCTCCTTCCTTCTTTCCATATGCTGATAATGCAGGGTATGTCTGGTCGGGATACGAAGCAATCGTGCTTGAAATAATGTTGATAATATTAGGGATATGTTTAAAATTACGAAATTGTCAAGGGCGAACGATCTAACGTCCCTCAGCATTTTATTTTTGGAATCATGTCTAAATCATTGTAAGCCAGTCTTACAGGAAAACGAGAGAAATAAAACACGCACTTTGATATGCAAGACGATACCTATCATTTATCATGACACTCATATTCCCTTTTTTAATGTCTTTTTCCTCCCACAGGACTGTTGCAGCAATATCAGGGACAGATTTCGCTGTCCTTGCTGCTGATACTCGACAGAGTGCGGGCGGTAACTATTTGATCAATACACGATATCAACCGAAAATGTTCAAATTGTATGCCTGCTCCCAACGAATCAAATTTTTTTGTTGTTTAATCGTTCAACTTTAACAAGTCACTTTTTAATTCTTTCCAAAGATCGAATGGTTCGGTTTTCGGAACGTCAGGGTTTTATGGTGATGCAACGACTTTTCTTAACAGGATCAATCAAAGATTAGAGGTACATGTTTTTATGATAAGCGGTTGCGTTGGTGGAAGAGGGAAAGGAAGGAACATGTGAATAGTTGGATTTTGTTTATTGACTCGACGAATGTTTCGGTTCGTAGTGGTATAGACATGCACATGACAAGGAGATGTCAACTCCAGCGCTCGCTCAGTTGATATCCATCCTGCTGTACTCTAGACGATTCTTCCCATATTACGTGCGCGTCTTATTAGGAGGTTTGGACTTGGAAGGTGGGCTATTTCAGTAAATGTGGGTTTTACCGCGTCTCTTTCCTTCAGCTAACGGGATTGTTCTTTTTTCCAGGCCGTGGTGTGGTTTATGGTTATGACTCAATAGGGTCCTATGAAGCCTGCCTTTCCCGAGCTGTTGGATCTGGTGGGAAGATGATTCAGCCCTTCCTTGACAATCAAATCGAACGTAAGACACAAACTGGCATCTTGCGAGCACCACTTACGTTAGATAAAACGAAAACTATTATGAGAGACGCTTTCACATCAGCTGCCGAGAGAGATATCTATACTGGAGATTATGTGGAGATATTTACTATCACCGCTCAAGGTGTGAATGTGGAAAAGTTTGACCTGAGGAAAGATTAATTTGCGAAAAAAGAAAAAAATAAAGTATCTTACAAGATGAAATTATGGGACATTTTTAGTTGTTTTATTTTAAATTATATTTTAGCAAAGCTTAACCATCCAGCAGCATATTTGGAATGATTATCCTTTGAGCAAATAATAAAGAACGGTGAAAGACGAGCCCGCCAATCTGTAAAACGAGCCGGCTGATTTATAAGATAGTTGACGATGTTAATATTGTTGAAAAGCCAACAGACAACCACTTCTAATTAAACTGTCAGAATTAATATCAAGCTAAAGTTAATATGGGCAGAAAGATGTCAGCCTGTTGCGTTGTAAGGGAGGAGCCGTACACTTCGTTTTTACTGATCCATTACGGGATGTATCGAAATAATGTTTCGCGTAATTAAAACAAGAGAGACGGAATTTTATTTGCAGCAAAGTACGCGTTTACCAATTAAACTCAACAAGACTAACGGTCAAGTTATGCGTATATGAGAACCAACGTCAACATCCCATTTAACGTAAAAAAAATCGCATCGTTAATTTCAAGGAGAGATTTCTGTTAATAATTACATGAACAATAAATCCCGACAATAGCGCAAAGGATATGAGGTGACTCATATTACCAGTATGTGTCTATTTTACTTCCATACACTCATGGATTTTTCTCTTGACCACTCCATCACCTGTGCGGTGAGAAATTATTGGTGAAAACTTTATTGTTAAAGTAATAATATTGTCATGATAGTCGTCAGTAAGCACTGTTTGGCTTTAAAAAACAAGACATTCGCCGTCCAGCGTCTAGCGAACGAGGGCTGAAAGATTAGTCTGTCACGTGGCTATTGTTTGTCTCAACTGTAACAGATCAAAACTGGTTGTCACTTTTCTAATTTTGTATTTGTGGTCATAGTTCGTATGTCTGCGCCTAGCTCAACTACTCCACCTTCCCCAACCGTGTCAAATGATGCACAGCCGAAGAAATCAAGATATCCTTATATCGGTAAAGAGATCCCAATTGATCCCCAAGTGATAAACCAATTAGAAGAACAAGCCACGATAGTGGCTGAAAATCTAGACACAATGATGAAGAATGTACAAGAGAGAATGTATGAGGTAAGATATAAGGAAAAGTTATGGAAGAGATCATGAACAGACTTGTTATGTGAATGTAGCAGCTGCCAAGCCGTTAAATGGCAATGATTATTCATTGATCATTGATTCTCTAGGCACACTTAATAAATTGTCATCTTCCATTACCGACATCATAGGCATGTAATGCAACCCAACTCTCCTTCACTGTGTACGAACAGTCAGTCGATGACTACGAATCGGCGATCAACGAGGCCGCCAAAAACACGAGAAAATTGATTGAGTTGTGTGATGCATTGAACCAAGAATTCAACGGGGTTTCCGCTTTGGCGAGTAAAATGTGAGTACGTTGACTGGATCTGTGTGTATTTATGTGTTTATCCAAGTAGCATTTATTTACAAACTATTTGCTGTGGGATAGAAAAAACATTAGACAACAAGTTGATGTACTCGCGTCTGCGTTGCGATAAGAAGATTGGCAAAGCGTAAATTGTTATAACCTGGATTGACCATAATTGATATGGGTCGTCTATATAAACGTGCGTGCTGACGAGTCAGAGGCATGCTAGTAGTTCATTAACGGTGCGTCAATATGGGATCATGAATGTTTGGGTTAAAGCTGCAAGCTTGACTACTGTCGACACGATATAGATAATATGTTTTGATAGTTACAAACACGCAGCATTGAAGTCAAATTCACAATTGTAGTCAGTTTGACAGTGCTAGTATCGATACATTTATTACTTGAATATTAATTACCGCTATTGTCCATCAATATGTACTATTAACAGTATTTTGCGGTTATTACACATTATAATTCCTAAGTTCTATATTGTAATTGTCGTATAAAAACCATTATCAACTAAACAACAACGTTCCTAATTAAAGACGTCTCCTCACCTTTGTCTTCATCATGTCTATAATCGTTTCTATCACGATATAAAATATAATGCTGTACCATGAACAGCAAATCGAACGAGAGGGATACGAAACCGAGGCCGCTATACGAAAACGGAGAATTAGTTGTTAATAAACGAAAATGTAATGTCTTGCGTGAACAGATCGCTTCTTCAGGCTTACAATTTCACCGGATCCTAGAAATCGTCAGAAGACATTAGGAGTCAGTTGTCTAGCGTTGTTATAAACTTGTACATAAGAACAGACCGTCTCACACTTACTCCTGAAATTCCGCCCCAGTCGTTCGCCAAATATGCATCTAAAATAAGTTGTAGTAATGACAAGGTTCCTCCAGTAAAATCTAGTGCAATGTTATGAATACTCCATCCTACTGTCGATTTACGTTTGTAATTCAAATATGCCTGGTATACGTATACAGCATTATCAGAAGTTGCAAAATCAATCATGTGCACATATACACTGTATTGCTTACCTGAGGGATGTATTTAATCAAACTAAGTCCCAGCTTTATATAACTTATAAAGTATAGCAAATCAATCCACTCGTTGAGGCCAGCAGCCGCTTTTAAATACACGCTGAAAATTCCCAGGGACGTGATAAACGTTAAGGCAATGGCAAAAGCTGACAGTCGCTGATTGCGGCCTTTCTGTTGAATAGAAATAAGCAGTGACGTCAAAGAATGTATAATAAGCAATTCGCATTCATTTGGCACAAAGGTTCAATTACATATCATACCTTGTAAATAAATGTCTGACCAAATGTTATGCAAGATAGGATTAGAGCATGAACGGAGAAGAATACGTCATTTATTCTGACCAAGTTCTCATTTCCTCCATATCTCCTTCGGTATTGTTCTTGAATTGTTGATGAATAAAAGAACGCAAGATTGAATATCTAAAGAATGTGCAGAACGACAAGTGACAACGTAAGTACCGTCGTATCCCAAAAAAATATAAATTCAGAATTACTTACAGAGTAGCATGTAAATCCGTATACATTGTACCATAGAAAGTCAAATGAGAGCCCGTTCACGCTTTGATGAATTAGTGGTCAATTATCCGATAAAAACTACAGATGATAGGAAAATGCATCTTATCTGACTTTACCTCTTCCTCTTCCAATTTAGGATTGCCTATTCATGACGTCAAGCATATAAGTATACTCATTCTCATGTCGATGATTATCGAATTTTTTTTCTTACCTGCGGGTAGAAACTGACCGACCAGGCCGTGAAATATGTCTATAAATGTAGAAAATCGGTGATTAAAAAAAGTTTGTTTTTAGATCTTTCAATTTATTATATTTACCCATCCCAAAATCTTAGAAAGTGCAGCACCAAATCGAAAGATCGATGCACTTGACATTTGATCAGTCAATATTGTAAAGAAATTAATAATCGCTTAACGTCCGTTACATATTGCCTCCTTCGTCTTTCCCCTTTATTATAACAAGAATATTTCATATGTGATGACAAATAGAGGTTGTCTGCACCATCGGTGAACGTTATGGCGCCATCATTGACCAATCAACTGTTTATACTCACATTTTACCCGGTAACCATCTGGGCCAATCTACGTCATGCATTGTTTGTTGCGGGCTGGAATTAACCGCCATAACTGTTAGAAATTGTTGTGCCATGCCTGTCAATAAATGCATGATTATGCTACTATCGTTAAGGTGCACAAAGAGATTCTCAGCCCTTTCCCAGCGCTTATTATTGCCAGGATATCAAACGATCTCTAGCACACGTTATATTCCGACACAATTTTTATTTCCCAAGACTACAAATGTACTGTATAAACTGAAAGATCCTTTGGATGGCCAGAAAGTATAGATAAAGAACAAATATATTACATAGAACACAAAATTAAGTGTTCAAAAATTGCGCTTCTTCTACTTTATAAATTTCATTATTGAACAGAAAGTGTTTTAGCGCGTTAAGCAATAATAAATCATATCGAATGAATACTGAAAATTGTCGTTTACTAGACTCATTCACAGTGGGCGGCTGAAAGCGAGTATAAGGAATTTTTAATGACACGTGTCGAAATATATCATCCTTTTCTATTCTTGTGGCTGAACAGAAGTGTCTATTGCTCAAGAGATTAAATAAGCCGAATAAGCCAGTTTACGAAAGTCAGAGTAATATCTCGCTACTAACCTTACCCGCAGCCCAAAACATGCAACTGCAATAAATGGAGTTGCAACAAGTCGATGGCCCTAAGCATACTTCCTGATTTGCCGAAAAGTTTTTTGTCAAAACAAGTATACAAGAATAGTAAATAAATACGTGAAAAGTTGTTATTCAAGTGTTCGACACTTTACTTGGAAAATTTTTTTTCTATTACCGTTACTTTACCGTTTTCAAAAACAATTTTAAAAACTCGACATTAATCAACGGCTTCACTTTACCCATTAGCAATTTCCATTTTGAGACATGCCGCATTATGTATTAAGAATAACATTGTGATCGTGGTGATGTAATGAAAAATGGAGATGGTAGATAAGGATTCTAACACAGCAGTTATACTAATATAACGAAATAATAGCTTGCGAAACCTATTGTCGAGATATAAGACCTTGAAGTTGTGACAATTGATGTTTAATTTTCACTGATTATGATGATCAAAAAGCTTTATTCGGAAATCCGTTAAGAAAAACTTATATTCCTGTCTGTTTTGTAGAAAGGTTTGAAGTAATAACGTTGTTAACGACATTTGTTCTACTATGGTAGTTATTACTGAGTGGTTTTATTGTTATAAGTAACTAATTATAATATTAGTGTCGATCTGAACATGTTAGGTATCAGTAATGTTGCAAAAGTGTTGTGATAGTAGAGAAGTTATTGAGGGAAAAAAACTAATAGAAAGAATAAAGCCAAATTATGAAAGTAAAGAAACGCAAGCAGAAACTATAATAATCTTAAAATTCCACAAGTAACAAGAGAAATTATTGAATCAAGTAATAGGATAAATAATGATAACTTGGACAAAAAAGAGTGGTGCATTATTGGTTTACATCATTTGAATGCACTGAGAAATGTGAGATAAACAAAATCCGGGGCAGAGAAAAAGGCAGATAAATCAAGGAAAGAATACTGGCAACAACTAACCAATTAATCATATTAATAATCACTATTAAGCCAAGTGTAAAAAACAAACAAGCAAAGAGATAGTTGAATGTTGATTAGGTAAAGACAGCAGACATTTTCTACAAGGAAATTTTTACTAGTACTAGTGGGCTTTTAATTAAGGTGGTATAACGGACTTCCATACAACGAAATCTGTTAAATGTAAGAATGGGGTTCGGTTCATCCTGTTTGTGAAGCATTGAATGTTGCTTCAGGACTTTACCAGAGTATTGTTATAAAAAGTGTTGAACAGGACTTTAATTTGAATCTTAACATTAGGTTTATTATATGAACTGGGTTATCAAAACCAGTTGCCTGTCAGTATGCCCATGTTAACAGAAGCTCACAAGGAAAAGCATGTTGAATGGGAAGAAACTTTATTCAGTGATGAAACTGTGTTTCAATTATTTTAAATACAATTAAGCATTGGTATGAGAGTCAGCATCCAACTAAATAATTATTTATTATTGTTAAGCTATGGTGATGTGACATAAGATTTTTAGAACAGAAACGAAATGAATTAATGAATGCAATTTTACATATTTTCTGTTATGCATGGATGATGGACTGGATGGATAAATAGTGATGAAACATCAGTTGTTATTGTAGGGCTGAGCAGCAAGGAACCAAATCATGAATGTAGAGGCAGAAATGCAAAGCATCAGTTTGATGATAGAAAACAGTTTTTATTTTGCATGTTTCTATGCTTTACTCTTCAATTACACCAATTCAGTTGGTATTCGATGACTGCTTAAATGGTTCAGATAATTTTTCATGAGAATATATGTTATAACTTGGCCTGGCCAATAAGGTATTAATATATACCATCATAAAATACTGACAGGTACCTTAATTAATGAAATAAGTGAGATTATCCACGGAGTATACTGTACATTTTTATTTTGGTCATAAATCTCCTTAGTTATAAGTCCTAGCTGATATCTTTGTTTTAGCTTTGTAAGACGTTTGTCGGTATCCATCGTGCTTTGCTAACTTTTCGTGTCTTTACATTTAAGGATTTAATCTGGAGTAACGCCAGCCGCTCCAATCCTAATTTCATGACCAGAATTGAGGCATTAAAAGCAGGCTTACACTTGGAAAATTTTTCATGCAACTGAGAAGCTCAAACTCTAAACGATGCCAAACTACAAGCGGGTAACTACGTATATATGCCGTTGGCTTACGGTCGATAATAACTCGTTAAACAACAAATGCTCATCCTCTGCGAAGGGGCTTTTGCTCTTTTCGCTCACATTGTAAGTGCTACGGTTAATGAGCAATATGTTTATGGGTTAAGTCACTTTTTACTATTTAGATACTTTGATGACTTTTGGGATACAAGATGTCCCATTCTGTGAATCATGATAACAACGAGGCAGGTTAAAAGTTCAATAGTCGAGTGTTTTAACTGTCGTTCTGTCATTGTATTATAATAACTGGATTATAGCAAAAAGCGTTGCATTATCAACGAGAAGACTGTCAATTTTAACAAATATTCTATCGCAATATAGGAATAATGTTACCGAATGAAGATGAAGATTGCGTATACGAGTGATGTTCAGGTACATAATCGGTACTGTAAGATAAGCTTTCTTTTCCGACTTCTAACAAATATTCTATATAGAAATATAGAACAATTATGGAAATAACGTTACGAAGACGAATATTGCGATATAAAGATGGATGCTACATCAATCGGTACAGTAAGACAAACCTTAACTTTTCAGACTTTTGTGACGACGACAGACTTGAATAAAATGACAGTATTACGCCGTTGAATGCCTGTTCGTTCACGCAAATGTATTCCACGAGATTGCAAATGTACGGCATTTGATAAGAATGTGTTGATCTCGCGCTTTACAGTTTATTTTGCAATTATGCGAATATTATCTCATCGTAGAAAAATCTTATTTCCCGTTCCTCGGGAAAATTAGCGCGCATCAAATTGCTCAGAATAATTAGATAATATTAGGTGCACATATAAGTATATGTTAGTTTTCAACGTTTAATCACGACTTTGACGTCCTGCTTTTAATGCCTCAATTCTGGTCATGAAATTAGGATTGGAGCGGTTGGCGTTACTCCAGATTAAATCCTTAAATGTGAAGAACCAATCAAAGTTTTCGAACAAATATGGGCCAATGGAATTGCAGAATCGTCGGAGAAATTTTGGGGGTCGCTATGTGAGTTCGCGAGCGCGATGTAATATAACGCTGATCAGTATGCAGAGTAATTAATACGCAGTATACCTGCGCAGATTGAACCGGTCTCGGGTTTAACCAGCCGACTCACGACAAACCAAAATTCCATTAATTAAAAAATCTCGCTAAACCGGCAATTAATAGTATTGGTTTATTACTATTAGTATCTCTGGTTATATGAATCGTAAATTTGGCACCATTTGTCGCGACTAAGCGGCTCGACCCAATATAATTCTTTGGTTCATGGTGGATTTAATGTAAATGAGTTTCATATTTGTATTTTTATAGATAGAGGCAATCCTATATTAATCCTGTTATGGAACATTAAAATTAACAAGTCCATAAGTTATGAACGAGCACATCATTACTTTTTAAAAAGTTATCAGTCACACTGGTCAATTTTACAGCCATATAATAATCAGCCCCTCATTTATACAATCTTCACTTTGTCTGGTTTTGTTGCAGCCTGCCCCATTTCTTTTTCCATTTATTGTACATCTCGCTACTCAATCTTGTACCTACCTCAATATCAGATCCGACAACAACGGCAACAAGCTTAATGGTGGAATTTCCCCCTCATTATATAATTTTGTGTCTAAAGCAAGCAATCAAGAACGGTTGCCATTTGTCGTTGTTTATCAAAGAATCTTGGGAAATGTTATGGCAAATTATACGAGGCATTTCAAACCTTTTCCAAATGTGCGCAAGACTCTAGAAGCCAACCGCTGTCAAAAGAAAAACGCGTGATAAGAGAACTCTTCCTAATGCAGTGCATCTCTTTGCCAGAAACGTAGCCTGATACATTGTTAACCACATGGTAACGAAATGGTAATATGCAGTAAAAATATCGTAAAGAGTACCGCGGTTGAAATATGTAGCGATGCATTCGCTACACTAGCAAATCGAGAATTGCATGCGTTGCCAAGTCATGGAACCAGTAACGCTTTATTACACCACAAATTTGCGCATGCCTCATACCACGTCATTAGTTCAGTTTCACAAATTTCGACGGATAAATTGTGATTTACTTTTTGCAAAATATCTTTGATACCGAGCCGCAAATGACTTCATGGCAGAGTGTGATTCAAGGTAGTATTGTCTCTCATTTTCGCTTATCTCACTCTTCTTCTTTTTTTCACAATGCTAATGTACCACATCTCTTCAACAGATAGGATAGTGAATTCTGAATGTATCAACGGGTTGGCTGTACTGACCGCATACCATACCAAATGTATCTACAGTTACGGGGAACTCGCTCAACTCTCCGAGGTCTGCAAATAATCGTCTAGTCTGACCCGAGTCGTTGACTAATTGCTTTTGAAACCAACATCCGATTTTATCAAACTTGTGTGTATACGTTGTCCTTTCCCTCGCTCCCCTCTCAACAGATTGACGCTAGCGAGTTTCGCCATTTATCAAACATATTCGATACAACTACGATTACAGGTGAGCATGTAATGGCAATCGTCAAGTTGCACTGCATATGCTGATTAGGATGTAATCTATAGAATCTACGATAAAGTTACCGAAAATTGCGAGAAACTATGTTGTGTTTTACAAGTCGTTATCAAGGTAAAATCACAAAATGGATTGTAAATGAAGCCACCTCCGATCATTGCGTAAACAAGCCATTATCTCTTTCTCATTTACAGCCTCCATGCAATATCGCCCCAGAAGAAGTATCTGACGCTCGCTAGTTTCCCCCTGGGGGTGAGTATAACCGTTAAGGGATAACAACCCTCTCTTTTTGATTGGCTATTCGATTAATAACTCGAGTTTTATTGTTTAAAATTTCGCTAATCCTTTTTCCCTAGATCATTCTCATCACATATACTTCCCAAGAAACGATCAAACAAATAGAAGATTTCGTCGACATACTCCGCCGATAATAATGTCTCCCCTCTTCCCATTTTTTCAGATTTCTTTTTCGAGACTTTTATCCCGATAAAAATACCTATGGGCGTCACTGGGTGTGAATATGATGTAATGTTGACGACGTATAAACTTTGTGACCCGGAAAACCGACCTGAAATTTTTAGAAAATGATGATGGATCGTCTTCTTGTTTTGATTGGATATGGAAATTAGGCGTGGGCAATTAGTATATAAAATAGAGTCAAAACACATGTAAGAATAAACCTTACCAGATTTTTATTGTTTGTTCCATTCCTATAATCTGTTATGACAAAATGACTCGCTTTCAAACACTCGATCGCCATTATGGTAAGAACTGGATTGATGTCATGATCAGGTAGTGAATAACCCCGTGTTGACTGACCCTTTATTGTAGACGAAGTATTGGAAGAAGAAAATGAGGCCACTTTAAATAAAAAAATATTAGCAGACATTATTGCCTTATGTCAGGAAAGAAGTAAGCAATTCGAACCCAATGTAAATTTGTTCCACTTGTAATCAAGCTTTGCCATTCGCACCTATAATGCATTCTTACATAATTTCGACTTGTTTCGCAACCTTTCCTCTAAAAAAAAGATTTGCCCGCAGAGGGAGACAAGCCAACTCTTATCAAGCAACTGTTGGATTGGGTACAGTATCCATGACCATTGCCTTTACCGCTTTTTGCATATCTTGTGGTTAACGCTTTATTTATTTCCTTAGAAACAAAACATGAAACCAGTACCTGCGCCATCTACACCACGTCTTGTAGTATTTGACGAACAGAAACCAATTCCTGATAAGGCGTTTTTACATTCCATGCTCATCGATGATGACGACTTGGAGACGATTCCGTATGCAACGTTAGAGATTGGAAGAAAATTGGGGTCCGGTGGGTTTAAGGACTGTTATGAGGGGAAATACATGAATGTAAGTGGACTATAGTGGAGAAAAGAAGTCTTGGTATGAATTCAGTCGGGAGTAATTATATTGTACGAGATCAGCGTTATTTTCTTGTCAGGGCTAACTAGATCCTTTCCCCCCCTTCAACAGAAACCAGTTGCAATAGGAGAAATTCGCGTGACTAATTTCAGCGAGAGCGATTTTCAGGAAATAAAACACGAAATTAACGTATTAAAGTAAATGTCTTTTATCGAGTGTTATGACATTACAATCACATCGTAAGTATTGTTCTAACTGACGCTTTTTCTGTAGACAACTATTACACGAAAATGTTATTCGTTTCATCGGGGTCAGCGCAGACACAAAACAACTCTGCATAGTAACAGAACTATGTGAAAACGGGGACCTATTTGATTACATGCGAAGGACGCCAAAACCGTCAATCAGTCAACAGGTTTTTTGTCCAGTAGATCGATTTACAGTATGTTTTCGAACGTTCAACTGATATTCATTCATTATAATAGATAATGTTGATGCATGATATATCATTAGGAGTAAACTATCTGCACACCCGACGCCCCTCGATCATCCACCGTGACCTAAAATCAATGAACATTCTTGTATCAGTCAGTTTACGCGCCAAAATAAACGATTTCGGCCTCGCTCGTATTCGACCACGGGCTAACGCTTCAATGCACACTCAATGTGGCACACCCAACTGGCAAGCACCCGAATTCTGGTCGGCAAATCCTTCCTATACCGAAAAAGTAGACGTCTACGCGTGTGCTTTGATATTCTGGGAGATAATGACATGGGGCGAGCATGGCTATCCGTATCAGAATTATTCGGAACATCAACTATACGAGGCAGTCAGAGATAAGAACATTAGGCCACCGATGGAAATGTTGAGGCGGTATCCGCAGTCGTTATTGGAATTGGTTAGGAATATGTGGCAGACGGATGCAAGATTGAGGCTGAGTATGGGAACTGTCGTTGACGAACTGGCTAAATATTTAACCTAGTTGAAAAGGCATGTAGAACCTAATAGGCATGAAAAGAACTCTAACTAATTTAGACAAATTCTAGTGTGGGGGGTATTTACAAATTGAAAGAATGGTTCGTCACTGCAGATTACTGATGAATCACGGCGGTTGTTGATATGTAAGCGCAATCTGGACGATGGGAATGGGTTAGGGTTGGAAGGAAGGAAGGAAGGAAGGAAGGAAGGAAGGAATCTAATTTATACGTTATTCCTGAACCAAAGCATATATTTACATTTGCACCTATTATCTATTCTGTTATTCGTCAAGTTTGGTTATCCTATATTAATATATACACTTAGTCATAGTGTTCCATCTTATCACAATTAGACATTTCCCCTTACCGGCACGAATAAAATTTCATCTATTATATTAAAGTATCGAATATTAAAGGTCAAACGGGCGCCTAGCGAAAGAATGATAAAACCCTTGTTGACGGTAGTGCAAGCAGCTACATTCAAGATGCTAATGAATGGGAATTTCTCAACACGTAGCAATGGCCTACTGGGATTAGCAGAAACTAGTCGAAATCAATAATGGCAGCCACATTCCCATTAATTAATGTGAACGCATTTTTCCGCAAAAAAGTCTGTAACGTTCAACAATTGCTTGGCTGTTAAACCATCAGACAATACAGAATTTTATTCATTTACATGGAACAACGAGAACGCTTAAAGAATTTAAGCGGTTAGAGATTAAATTTCTCCGAGAGTGACTCAAATTATAACTGAGATGTTAATGTACGCATTCAATATTATAGCTACGTTAACAAAGCAATATATCCCGTAGTTAAGAATTGAACACTAATGCTCGCGATATCTCGCGTAAAGTGCCGGCATTGCAAAAATGCGTGGATGACGGGACAATTAATATAGCTTGTGTCAAATGATGACGCGGAGAAAGTCTTTTAAAATGCTAACGAGATTAATCGTCCTAATCCTAATACTAACAGAATTATAATGAGCGGTTAAAAAGAAATTGATCTGTGTTTACGTAAGCTGAAGAAAGATGGTGGGCGGCAAGTTCCGATCAAAGCGTTCCAGAGAACTCTTGGTATTGCAATGGAACTACATAATTTCGTTCCTTTTTTTTTCTTGATGGAAAACGAATTCACCACAATATCATGATGACTTTTAACGGAAAGTTGCGCTTCTATAATCGAATTGCAACTTTGCATTATTGTCAACGCGTACATTTATTCAACTATTACTATGGGTGAATATTACATTTATAGCTATTGTCATGTGACAACACGTGGAGAACTTCACTGCCAAAATTTTCCGTTTAGCAATAAGGCCGAGAAGCCACTTAATGCTCCAAAACAGATACATAATAAGCATTCTTTATAGAGTGTTATTGGTGGAATTTGAAGTAAGTGAACCAGTTCTGTTTGTATAATAAAAAAAAAATAACCGTCTGTTCACCATGCATTGCAGTTATCTGCTCAATAAAGACCATTGTAATAATAATTTTAAACGTTCCCCTCGGCAAACAGAAATCACCTTTTCAATTCTTCACATAACATAGAATAACAGACATGACAACGAATCTCACGTCGCGTCATGCCATAAAGAAGTAATTCAACATCCAAGCAGCTTTGGATCCAAAAATATCTTTTGACAAATGCCTTATTCTCAAGAGACACTGTAGCGAGCTGCGTGCTGTTACTGAACGGTGGAGATTTGTATGTACAACATGCATCTAACGAGAATTGTTTATTTTACGATTTACGACTCGTTGGATATTTACATTGACAAAATTTACAATCTGATTAATATTAATATATACATTTGATTTGATTACTACTAGCAGCGTACCTTCGGGTAATTAATCACTCAAAGGATTTCACCTATTCCATTACATGATTTATAATAAAAATCTAGATACAAATGCATTAAAAAGGAACCGTTATATTTGGGTGGCCGCGGGTTGCAACCATTCATGGTCGCGGGTCGCAACCGATCCCTCCACCTGACCGTGACTATGTATTCTCGCTTTTTCGTCGGGGCGACTTGACGATGGCGGATGGTGTGGAGCTGACTGTTGGTCCGACATATCGATCTCTCGTGCAGACACCAAAAGAGCATGTATATGATACTGCCCATCCGTATGGAGCTTACGTATTACAAGATGATCTTCAGCTCCAACTCCTTCTTTCTGCATTGCACATCATGGATACGTAAGAAAAATCTTCTTGGCGCAGGCGCGGAAACCTCTCAGTTGTTCGACTTTCAATAGCTGGAGGACCATGTCCTTTTCATCACAGAGGACGACTCGATGGGCGTTTCTGTTGGATGTTGTCCCTATTGATAAGTGGTTTGTCGATGCGCAAATGTCTTTGTGTCCTCTGTGTATTGCTTACTATTACGGTCCCGCACCACCATCTGTGGCTGCGGCGACGACTTCTTTCTCGGTGCGGCAGTGCGGCCTATTATATAAAAAAATAATAATAAGTTAGGTTACAATATGTCAATGTCAAGGATTGTAAGTCACAGTGAAATGTTCGGCGACTATAAATACCGTTTTATTGTAACGTAACTTATATTTACCTCAATGACTGAGTAGGATTTCTTCGAATAAATTGACCAAGAATCGTCTAACGGAACCACTTCATTACAAGACCATGACGCGTAATCGGAGATGCAAATGTCAGCTAAAGTTCCCATTTCGTTAATGTTAGATTTAATAGTTGAGAGTGGAACGCTAGTCAATTTATGAATCTCTTGTGCATTGCACACATCTCATTAATATTTTGCCTCGGCTACGGCATAGGCGACTTCAATTACAACGTTTGGCCAGGGTTTGATGACGCGTTTCTAGACGTAATGATGTTATGTTTGAAGCAAATATGGATGCTATCAGCCAAAAAATTTAGAGAGAAGCCCCAGTTTTATATGGTTAAGTTCATATCACACATGTTTCACATGTTTGTTTACATACATAAAAAGGTATCGCGTTTTAAATCGCGTCTACATTTGGTCTCAAATTTTAACATTTTATACTTTAACTAATAAATTAATTATATAAATCAATATTTAGTCAGTCAGCTATTTCTTAAATTATGTTATTATTATACCCACTTAGTTTAGGTTATAGCCACTTGTCACATGATTCTAATAGGTTATTTCCACTCGTAGTTTATCGTCATTCGAGTGACGACATGATCATCATTTGCCGAGGATGTTAGCTGAAGAAGTCAACAGTTATTAGTGATGATGAGTTTGCATATTTGCGTCATCATTGCAGGGGATTGGTTCATAGCAGAGTTAGCTTTCGGAGTTGTCTGCAGAGATGGCTGAAAAAAAAATATCGTTATTTGACTAGAAACTGAGCCTCAAAGCTTCGCTTCTCTTTCCTATAGTAAATGTGTTTAAATTAAAAATTGCTGAGCAGTATTACCAAATAGTTTGTGTATAATGTTCCGATTATTAACAAACTTTCAACAAGTTTTGTATATGATGTTATAATCTAATACTAATAAATTTATCGTCATATTCAAGCGAGTGCATATATGCATTTCGTAGATTATTAATTAAAACATGATCACATGTACGCAACAACTATTAAATATTTTGTTCACGTAATGTGACTAAAAGGGAGGAAATTTACATATACAGTGAGTAATTAAAAGTATTTGGCACTCGTCGAGATTTACTAGGAAAAAAAATTTTTTTTTCTAAAATTTCGATTGTACGTATTTACAATAAATTTGAAGCCAATTGATTGTATTTAAAAAAACATTTTTTACTAATAAATTTCGACGAGTGACAAATCATGTGTGATAGTGACTAACAAAAATGTGACTAAATGTGTGCTTTCCATTTGCCGATGAAGAATAGTCGATTATCCTGGCACAATCTGCCGATGCACACAGTTTAACATCGCAGATCGCAACATACAATCATACTCATACCTCTTCCCACTTTGGTATGATGGAGATATTATCAAAATGACTAAAACGTGCTTATAAAGATCCTATTTATAGGAGAGGCCGCTGAGCATCCAATGAAGAATAGTGTTTTGTGCGACCCGGTAGATAAATTCCTGATTATCCTGCCTGCAACTATTACAGAGTGCATACTTCCTTATATTCCGCTTTGGGGTGGGGGATTTTTGGCCGCTGAGCATCCAATGAAGAATAGTGTTTTGCGCACCTGGCAGGTAAATTTCTGATTGCCCTGCAACTATTAGCCGAAGCTTATTGTATGCAGTTTTAACATCACGGATCACAACATATCTCTTTATATTCCCACTTTTGAGATGGGGATTTTGGGGATATATCTGAGGTAAGATACAAGTGAGGTAGTAATTGTTATTGGCTAATAAATTCAGTTAATGAAAGTTGGCGTTTAGCCTTTCTACAGATTTATCTAAGCGTCGTGAATTATACTACGTATATATTTTCCCGTTCGCACAGAAATAATTGTCTTGCTCGAGTCTTCTTCAACATTAACATGTTGCTGCAATGCATCTTCAGCCATCAGAAATTATCTTCTTCTGTTGGTAACTTTGTACTAACCAAGCTGTTATCCACTTCAGGATGCTCATCCGCTGTTATGTCTACCGAAGGATCTGCAAGCTTCAGATTATTTAGAGCTAAAATTAAGTCGCTCATACAATCATCTGCTTCATCCTATTTCAATTTCAATGGTTTTCGCAGGTAAAATGCCCGTATTTTGCCAACAGTTTTTTATGATCGGGCCATTATTGACTAGGTTAGGAACAACGTTGGTTTGACTTTTTCCCAACCATCTGCAATAAGTTCTATTGCCTCTTTGATGTTCGAGTTCTTTATCGCTTGCTCTTTGTTTAATTCGTAAACCCAAAAGGTTTCGATAGTAAACTTTAAAATTACGAGTAATTCCAGCGTCGTAAGATTGTATGTGTGATGTGGTATTTGGAGGAACATATTCTATGCGTAGGTTTTTAGATTGAGCGAAGAACCATCCGTGTCGCAGGACAATTATCAACAAGCAGAAGCGAGTTCTGAGAAATCTCGCTACACGAATACGCGCTTTCTATATCTTGCGTTTGCATACAATTGTAAGAGCTTTTTTTTAAAGAATGTTACTTATTGTCGAACAATCACACCAAATTCGTTTGCCAACTTATTGGGTCAGTTTTTTTCTCTTAATAATGTTTATTTTATCTTCAAGTGATAAATTTCTTCTTTGCTTTTTTTCCCTATTGTTACTGTTGTTTGCGAAACTATCCATAGTAAAATTGGTTTTATGATTAATTTGATAAGACTTTTTTTTAATAGCAAAAAATTATGATGTTGGCTTAAATTTTATCTGGTTTGTTAAAAGTGGCGTGTTTATGACCTGATTGCTTTTCAGCACGATTTGATATTTTATTAATAAAATTCTTAACATTTTAACAAGAACGTAATAATAGAAATTATATCCACAAATACAAAACGCTGGAAAAAAAACGTGTTTTTTTTTATTTAAGTTTTTTTTATTTAGTTTTGTTTGTTTTTTTGATATAGTGATATTAGTATCATATATAATAAATTAGATGTATCTAATGTTAGTACCCGTATACAGACGGCAAAATATTGGGAATAGGGATACATGCGAAGGAGGATACACAGGTGGGATATATCTGAGGTTGGGATATTAAAGGGTGGGATTTAAAAGAGGTAATGAAATTACTACTAAATAAGGTAAATTTGTCAATGCATCTATATCGGCCGCAGCTGCCAAGACCTCACAACAGCGGATATAAAAGCTTTTGAATCTTTGCTTTGCTTTGGAACACGGAAAGATGAAATTTCTGACTTTGTTTTTGATATTTGTAATCGCCAGCGCGAACATTTTTGATGTACAGGCCAACGACCTACCGAGGTAAGCAAATGGTGAACTTTATAAAATCTTTAGTATTAGTGGTTAATAAGGTTAGACTAATAAATAATTTTCCTTTTCCAGCCTAGCATTTAAAAGAATACGCCAATTCAAGTATACCAGTAGTGGAACGCTCAAGCGACGGAATCAATCAAACTTGACAGATGTCGGCGACGACACTGCTGTAAGTGAATAGTTTGACGGCTTATCAAAGTTATGTAATCCCCATTTTTTAACGTCACTCGTAATTTCTGCTTTCTTGCTCGTTAGTATATATCAACTGTTACAATAGGAACACCACCTCAAGCATTTACCTGTCAAATAGATACTGGCTCCTCTGATTTATGGGTACCTGACGTTTCGTGTGCTGGAGCAGGATGCACTGGCAAGCACGGATTTTCTTCCAGTGCCTCAACCTCGTATGGGGGTGACGGTGTTCCTTGGAACATTTCTTATGCCGATGGGTCAGCTGCATCAGGAGTGACAGCAACTGATATAGTAACATTTGGTGACGTCACATTACAAGGTCAACAGTTTGCGAGGGCAACGAGCTTGAACAACAACTTCCAAAGCCAGACTTTCGATGGAATCATAGGGTTAGGCGGACCTCAACGGGCTAGTGTTCCAGGTAAGTTATCGTTATATATAACACAAGCCGGAGATGTTTCTCAACAATTTACTATATTAATGTTCTTTCAATTTTCCAGGGACAGTAACGCCAATTCAAAACATGAAAAATCAAGGTTTTATAACCGCCCGCTCATTCGGTGTATGGTTAGGCAAATCAACCGAGGGCGGCTCAGGAGAAATCACTTTCGGCGGGTTCGATCCTGATCACATAGTCAGCGATCTAACTTCAATTCCTCTTATCGCAAGCTTTGACAGCACTGGGGATTGGGCGGTCCAATTAAGCCAAATATCTATTGGCAGTCAGAACATTGCACTTACACAAGCGAACGGTGTTGCCATATTAGATACTGGATCATCAGTTATTTTTGTACCGTCCACTCTAGCGGATCAGATTAACACAGCATTAGGTGCTGTTTTCTCGTCTCAGGCACAGGCGTATCTAATACCATGCGACGCAACGCCGCCGGATATGGCGTTTACTTTCGGAACTGCATCTTTCACCGTCCCAGGCACCGATTTGGTTCTTCAACAAGGAGGAGGAGTATGTGAGAGCGCTATTATCCCACTTGACGTTGGCGGCGGTGTGGTAAGTTCAATAGGCAGGATTGGAGATTGGGCGTGAAATTAACCGCTTTAATCGAGTTTGTCGTCGGTCATTTAACCTAATTATTATTGTTTGTTTATTGTATTAGTCATTTCTTCTGGGCGATACTTTCTTAAAGAACAATTATGCCTACTTCGACATGGATGGGTCAGTTATCGGACTTGCCCAGGCTAAACGATAGAAGGGAAATATTATTTACGGCCGAGCAAAACAATCATAATAATAATGATAGTATGTAAGAACGTATTCATTAAGATTAGTTTACCCCCTGACGGGTTTGTCAAAGGGGAAGTAAGCTTTGGCCAAATAAAGTAAATTAAACAATATAATAACATATAGTATGTTGGGGGGAGTACCTATGTACAGTGTATTAAGCGATTGCTAATTTTGGCAACGTCGATTGCCAAAGCTGATAGGATGGAGTCAACTGCCTATAATTAGACCCCCCTTTAATTCGATTTTCCGATAATTCGAGGAAACTGGTCATCCATATTGTATTCCTTCCTCTTACTAATGCCGATTTCTGATAATTTCTTTCCGAGAACAGTATTATGTATATGTAACAGTTTTTTATTATTAGTTTTGCACCAAGATATTCGTGACGCAATTAGATTGGGAAACATTCTCAGACCATAGCGAAATGTATCCAATCATAAATTGAATGTAATTGGGACAGACTGGAGATAATTGCTGGTCAATATTGTTTATTCCTTCATCGGCTGTATAGTATTCTTTATCAAAGCTTAGATGCGAAAGCATCCTGAGTCTCACACTGCTCTTGATGTCTCATCTTAATCATATTTTTTATGCCTTCAATTATCATAGCAGAGCCGTGCGCGAAGCGATGTCAAATATGTGGGCATGTTTGTCACCGTGAAAAATTCTGTTTATGAAAAATATTTCATAGTGACGTTAGATGGTGACGGATTTGGATCAACTTCAAGCTCTTTTTCTATGAATTTTGGGTGATTTAACCGGTTATGTTTCTTTTTGATTATTTCTTTACATTTGTCACTATTGTCACTATGAAAAAGTCAATTTCTGGGAAAAAAGACCAAACTTTTTCCTAACTTTTAGCCGATAATATGCTTTTGCTGGAGGAGAGATATTCATGTGCAATGTAAAGAAAAAAGAAGAAAAGAAGTTTGAATTTTCATAGAGACTCACAATGACATGATGACACTTGTCTAAAACGGACTCTGGCAGCTCTAGAAACATAAAAAAAAGGACTACAGTAAATATAAAAAACTGGTAACTTGTCACTATGGAATTTTTTTGTCACCATGAAATCGATAGTGACAAATTTTTACGCATAATGTTTGCGCATACCCATGATAAAACTAATATTACTATGTATTTGCTTTAATCTCGTTTTGCTGTGTTACCACTGCCATCTCCAGTTTTTTTCGTTGATAATAATCTTTAAACCGATACTTGCCGGAATGATCTCTACATGCACGAAAACACAGAGAATGTCAACTTAGTACATCCTTTACAAGGTAACTAGAAAATATGGTGATGGCGGTTGCTGCGCTTTTACCACCGCGGACATAGAACTAAAGAGGCTAGCTGGGTATTTATACAAAACACGTGATGATTCTGTACATCCAAGAGAATTGTTTGGGACAGATTCTGAGAATGGGATAGCGTCTATATTTGCAGAACGTCAAGGTCATTCATTACACTAATTTATTGATGGAGATGACCCACTCTGCTCCTTCATCGATTTCGATTTGCCGCAAGAGACATTAAATAGAATTGACCCTAAACTTACACGTGAACAGATATATGATATTATTTGCTATGCCTTTAAAGAAGCGTGTTTAGAGATATATACCGAGCGGGATAAAAGTACGTTAACTAGTGCTGAAAGTAGCGATTTGAAAAAATGTCTCTTTATATTTCGACTTTCGGAATGGGCCTTAACAACATTGCTGAAGTCGCATCATTTACCGAACTTGTCCGTAACAAATAAGTTTACAGAGTAAAAATATTGTTGATATAATATTGCAACTAAGAGCTCATTTTCTCTACGGATACTCGGAACTCCGAATTTATTAAAAAAGCTGGCGAACATGTACGTATAACGAAATCACTGTATTCAAAAGATAGAGACATATTCGATTTTATGTTTCGCGCTCCTAATGACGATTCACCAGTTGTGGATAGCCTGATTTTCAACGTTCTAGTATAAGAGACGTTAAAGGCGATACTGGGACTATTGGGGCTGAAGTAGAATACATAGAAAGATTACTCGGAGTGGTTAACATCGAGGGTTTGATGTTTTATACCCAACACCCGCATCTCAAACCATTTTCTCCTTGAGACGTATAATCTTCAAATCGATAAGACTTCTGAAGGAAGCAAGCTACGCACCTGAGACTGTAACCATATATATGCTCTAATACGTACTCTTTAAACTGACCCGCGCCTTTTTTTGCTACTGTTATAAAAAATTATAAAAATTGTCAAATATGTAAATTTTAACAATAAAAACTCACATTTATGTCAAGTAAATCGAAGAATCAGCAACTTACGTTCGTTAGCCCATTGATTGAGTGTACGTTATATAACATTAATTGGTGTGTGTGTACCCTTTATTTGCGAAACTAGTAGGGTTTGAATCCATCGTATTTCGCTATCAGACAAATGATCGACAATAATACAAAAAATGCCGATCTCACAATCATAGTCGAATAACGCATTAATATATACAGTATAAAGATAACGTGCACGAATCTGTTAAATTATAACAATCCGTTTAATAAAGAATCGATCGCAATTCAGAAAGTACTCAATTATAATAAAGCGATTTGTTTCTATTTATTACTGCTTATTAAATTTTGTCAATGTAAAATGTATATTAATTTCAATAATCAAAACAAACATTTGATCAAAATCCGATTTTTTTTCTCAAGACTATTGACTTCCATATTGGGCAAATAACAAAATTTGTTCCTAGTCTCAAAATTTTAATATCGAAGCAAAAATATTTGTCAACTTAATCTTATTACACTAATGAATAAATTTGTGTTATTAATATTAATATTAACGTATTTTTTACTATAAACTATAACAAACTTCGCTATAGTATATAGTAATAGTTGAATAATACTTCGTTAGCTTTGCTTGCTCGGAATAATTTAAGTAACTTTGCTATATTAATTAGTAAAACTCTGGTAACTCCATATTAAGCGAAAGCCGATGCACTCGGTGAGTCGTTATATTATCTTTGTCTAAGTTAATTGATTAATTTTTTAATAAAGATTATTAAAATGGGAGGACAGCAGAAGGATAATGTTTTATTTAATTAATTCTGTGGATATGTGTACATCCGCTTTTGATTAAATTGTTAATAATAACTATGATTAATTAGGCCCGTATTATTTTTTGAAAACGATAAACGACTCTAACACAGATTTTGCCGCTTCCTCACCGCAATTTTCTTGTTTATTTTCTTTTCTCGCATTTTCCTCTCTGATCGTTCTACGAACTTCCTTCAACATTTCTCCCGTAAGTTGCTTTTCGCCAGTGAAACAGGCAAGCTGCATTCGAGCCTCCTGTAATGCCGTTTTCTGATTAGGATCAGTCTTTATATCATATTTATTGAACATTCCCTCAACTTGTTGTTGATGAACAGCTATAGACCAAATCCCGTATTTTACAAAGTCGTAAATGAGCGGAAAATTATGGATACTGGAAGCATCAGATTTTGCAAAAGCAAGAAATTAATTCAGAAAATCGGTTTCTTTTAGAGCATCAAACAAGCCAAAGGAATCGTTTTTTCCGTTTTTGAAAGGTCTTCTTTTAAAAATTCAGCATAAGATTCTTCTCGCCAAGTTTTTTCAATTTCAATTAATTGATTTAAAACTTGTGAAGCAACTGCTCTAGCAAATTCTGGGTCATAATCTCCTCCTAAACGACATACAGATAATGGTAAATGGATCCAACACTCCATCCACTTCGAAAAACTTTCTAATGCCGTAATAATTCCATGCTTTAATTTTAAACAGTAGTTTAATAACTCACTTTCATTAAGTGGAGGAGAAAAGTCTTGTTCAAAATTGTCAACTTTAATAAAATAATTATCTGAGTATCTGAGTATTTGCATATTTCTTGCAGTTTACCTAACCATAGCAATACATTATCAGGTAACTCATGCGCTCTGTTACCAGGAGGGAGATTAACTAGTATGCCATTATCCATTACATGAGGAGTATTATCATAGCCTGTGAGAAAGTCAATTATCTTAGCATAAAATTCAAACTTCCAAATTTTACCATGCACTTTACTTGAAAGTTAAGTACAGGACTTTGCAGCCAATCTTTAAAAACTTTTCACTTTTTTATATAAGTTGACAGAGGAGTTTTAGATTTTTCAAGTTCTGGAATTAACCAAGTTGCAAACTGGAGATAAAGTTCTTTACGATCCAAGTACTGTATGCCAGTTCCAGTTTTGAGCTGATATTGCCACTGAGTAGTGATTGGCTTCTGGTATTGTTTTAAAGAATATTTTAATAGTTTCCAATATAACTTTTTAATTGTGTCTGACTTCATATTCATGGGATTACCTCTGTCATTGTCTTTGTACCCATCATGAAGATGATATGCTAAATTTAAAAGATTGGATTGATACTCTATAAGTAATGATCCTGGAAATGATTTTAATTTTCCAAAAGCCTCCTCTTCAAATTTACTCATTGCAATGTGTACTGAATGTATTCCACAAGGAATGCGATATGCATTGGCTTGAGAATAAGAATTAATTCAACAATTGCGCCTAAATTGATCCTGACATATATGCAGCATTGTCAGTGAGCCAGAAGTTGCATTACTTAGGATCAAGATCATATTTCTCACATGTCTGCAAAATTACTTTGGCAATTCCAAACTACATCGATCTATGTCTTCCATTGTTGCCATGGTCAATATTGGTTTGTTTGCCTTATTATCCCAATAAGTAAAACATACTAAAAATTTTTTTTTTCTTTCCTGGTACTTTCATCAGCCATCACACCATATGTAAAAAACCTTGAAGTTTTATCAACATTAAGACTTTCACAGATAAGCAATTTGGCCACTTCTTGATTCCAACGTGAGACTGTGCTAGTAGTAGTAGTAGTAGTAATTCATTTATCGGGTTCTTTTCCAGTTAAGAATGAATACATTTTTTTCGTACACT